ACCTGGTGCCAGGCATTAAGAATACACAAGAATATATATATAATCTTTTTACTGATGGTCTTGTGTGTTTATGTAGGCCATATGGAGGCGTTTCACCAGTTAAAAACTTTTCAAAGGACGTTTAACATGAATGCATACTGGCCCTGTGTTATAGCCATGCTGAATATGGACCAGTTACTGGAATATTTAGTATGTCCACAGATGATGATGTACATGTAAAGCAGCTTGTGTGAGCTGAGCAATCCCAGACATTTAATTTATGCAACAACATATGTGAGAATTCCTACAGAAAGCCACCAAAGCCCTGTAATTCAGCACTCACTGTTGTATACAGTATATAAGTTTGAGTGTAGAAGAAAACTCAGGCTGGCCATCTGTCCAAGTCCCTGACTTCAAAAACACTATTGTTCCATTTTGCTTCCTGTCTCTGCTGATTCTAGGAACAGTTCTGTAACATTTCACATTTCCCTTCAGATAAGTTGTTTACATTAGGATTATATAAGGGACTGCTCAGCCAAACTACAAAAAGAAACAATTTCTCTCTCACCTTTAATGGTAAATAGTCATGCAAATAGTTTTGATGTGATTTGCTCAGGTTCATCTTTAAGACTTTTCCCCCCACAGACATTAAAAAATTCGACGGCAACATTTCTTTCCGGTAACAATGTCCCTGTTACTCTGGATAATCCACAGCATGCACTGTCAACAGTGACTATTTCTGTGATAGAAACTAGATCCAATTATAACTACGGATGCTTCGATTCAGTATCAGTATCGACAATCGATACTGACTAAAACCAGTAGGTCGAAAGGTGTTTAACAGTTTAAGCATGATGTTGTTTAGTTGACTTGGTTAAGAAAAGTACATCTATACAAATATTTTATTAACAACTTTGTTGTTTAAAAGACGGAAAAATAGAAGAAGAAGGGGATGGCAAGGTTAGGACAAAGGGAAAAAGGCTTTGGAAAACAACAGGGCTACCTGCTTGAAGGTGTGTCTTGTCCACAATCAACAATAAATACTCTTCTTATTAGAAATAAACCTTACTATACAACACACATCGTTACAATAGATTTGCCTGTTCTCAAATTCAAAATAAAATGTTTCAGTTGCAATTTCGATTCACCACTTCAGTGAACATGCTTCTTTGTGGCGATCATTTCTTCATAGAGCTAGTCTCTGAGCAAAACAGGAAGCGATAGATATTTTTCACAGCAGCGTTTCTGACATGAAATAGTAGGATAAAAACAGGTGTTACCAATGATACTAATCAAGGTAAATGGAACGAAACCTTAATTAGTATCATTGGTAACACCTGTTTTTATCTTACTATTTCATGTCAAAATGGCTGCTGTGAAAAATATTAGGTTGTCTTTGTGACAGCAGTGCAAGCAATAATACCACTTGCAAACACTATGGGGGTAAGGTTGAAAAGTTGTCTTTCCATGTTAAAGGTTGGAGAGAACTAGAAAGCTTTGAAAGGCTGTGACCGATTTTGCACCCAGCAAATTTGACAAACTCATACTGGGAGGAAACGGAGTGTGGAAATCTGATACTGACGCTGTCAGCAGCTAAGGACCATACAATGTTCAGCCATGGCTGGTCTCATTGGATCAAAGTCAAATCTGTGACTCCATGTATGAGAAATCAAGTTTGGTTTTAACAGTCCTTTGAGTTGTTCAGAGCCTCCAGATTCCAAATATCAATACTACAATTTCAATAGTATGATTTATATCAGTATACTGACTGACAGAATGATTGGCAGTCAGTGCTTGTTTTTTCAGAATTGACACAGGTTCTAACTACAAAGTCTGCTAACATGTGTAGGATTTTTGGTGTAGCCCACTAAGTGATTTAATGCTAAGCATGGAGGTGTGAAGACTTCTTTAATTGTTGTTCTGTTAGCATATTTTTAGAACTGACTACTGCACAATATGTAAACGAGGTCTGTGATTGGTTATTTTAAACCACAACCTTTGAGAAAAGGAAAGGTCAGTTCACCTAAATCACACAACATATACCTACTGTATGTCTCCTTACAGTTGTTATTTAATTTTTTTCCCAGAGTATCTGTCTATTTAATTTCACATTTCATTCATGTTACACACTGAACCTTTAAATCACCCAAAACTAAAACCTCCCAGTTCCCAAAGAAAATCCCTAAGTAATGATCTCACTGTCCCCATTCTAGCTACGGTCTTGTGAGTTTGCATGTTCTCCCTGTGCATGTGTGGGATTCCTCCAGTTCCATCCAAAAACATTTAATTATATATAACTATAATATCATTTGGCTTTTTAAACTTTTGTTATGAGCCTGGGCCAAGTTTCTAACATAATGGTTGGATGAATGCAAAAGATTAGAGACAAAAATCTCTGACAGGTATTTAAAAACTTGAGGTAATAAATCTAGTGCTATCTATATGGCTAGCCACCGCTGACAGGGAGTTTGTTTTTTTTAGTTGGTTGAAACAACCCAGACCAGACTTTGGGCCCTTAATCTAAGGTCTGGCTCCATGCAAACCTAAAGCTATGGCTAACTAGCTTGAAGAACTTCATAATATTGGCTTCTCTGCTTGGCATTTAAAATGTCAAATGTAATGAAATTTTAAATTTAATATGTTGAATGAGCGTGATTGAAACATTCACTGAAGTATCAGTCAGAAGTGTCCCCCCCCACCCCGACCCGCTGGCTATGAAGGTTGAAAAGGGAGGGAGATGGAGGACAGCAGCATTTGATGTTTGACGCAGCAGAAGTCACTGCCGATTGATTGGCTCCTGTTAAACCCGACTCTCCCTCACAGGAGTGATGTCTCCTTCTGTCTTTATGTGGAATGTTTCATCCCCACACACATGCATTTGAAAAAGCCAGATGAAAGCCCAATTAGATTTTTTTTTCTTTTTCCAAACACATGAGAGTCTCTGGCAGCAAAAGTGAAAAGGAATACCACCAGATTAAAATAATGAGGCTTTTAGAGGAGTTCAGTAGCTTCTCACATGAGTCACATTTCTCTGTTATCTTTCACCTTCTTTGCCCTGCAGAGAAAACAGGAAGAAGGGAAATATATCTGAATTCTGCTCTGTGCGTGTCTGTTCTTAAATTAGCAGAAGAAGAACCTTTTAAACATCCTGTGATAGATATAAAATTGCCACTCATAAAATAATAATTAGAGCTTTGGTAGCTTCTGGAACCCCTGGCTGCTTTGGCAGGGCCTTGCTAATTTGCACTGTCATCTCCACGGCACAGCAAGCCCTGGGCTATAGGCAGAGGCGCCAGTCTGAGGGGGAAATAGAACCCGCTGGGTCTTCTCTGCTGGAACTATCATCCCCCCACACACCTTCGCCACCATCCTGCTGCCATTTTTCTCTCATCACAAGCTGCTTCATCTCTGAAACTCCCCCACTCATCACTCAGGAGCAGCACTAGAAAGGAATCCTCTGAGAGTGGTGGACCTTTTCCGAGCCTTTTAACAGACTCCCGACAGACTGTACATGTCACTGTATTAACAAGGCTTTTGGAGGAGCATGTATGAGCGTGTGTCTCTGGTGTGTGTGGGCAGAAATAGGGGATATATCGAGTTTTTAAATGTGTAAACCCTCTACAAATAGGCAATTTACTTCCCATTGCCAGTAGACAAGTTTACAAGCTGTTGTATTGTGTTCAACATCATGAGCCCCCTGGAAAAAAGGCTTAGTAAACAGCAGAAAGCAGCATTTGTTACTTGCCTTGGGCTGCAAGCACTGCCCCTTTCACTCAATATTTTTGATATGATGTTGTGTCTCACACTGTAGCTCGGTAGCCTCACAAAGACAGACCTATCTCCACAACGCTGTGTCAGTACTAGAGAAAGTGCCAGTGACCTGTCCCCTTATTTCCTCTTCCCCTCAATCAAGAGAAGCTTTCTCACCTCGCTGTCATGCCAGTGTTGCATCTTGCATGATACTATGAACAATATTGTCGTTGTCGAGGCCTTTTCAATCGTCAGATGGTGCGGGTCCTCGTCGACATACTCTTCTCACTGCAACGTAGATCCAATGTGCCCTGTACATTGCTACGATGTACTTCAGCCATCTGTGCAGAACTCAAAGCTATACTTTCGCTTGTTGCTACTGCTGACACCTTACCACCACATTCCCCTTGGGGTTAAGTTACAATCTTCACTCCTCAATCCCTGCTGTGCTGAACTCAGAACTAGAAGCCGCATTTAAACCAATCCTTTATATTCTACATTCACAAAACAATACGTTTCAGATGAGTTGGCTGACTGAAATAACATTGTGCCTACCAAGTTAACAAACCTCCAGGTTAGTAAAATTTATTTGGAAGAGGAAATGAAGGCAAATAGTAAATACTACCCATTCAGTAATAATCCATCACAGTTTACAGACCCACTTCCTTTTGCACCTTTGACCTACCTTATGATCACAGTTTTGCTGTGCAATAAAGGGATTATTCCAACATTTTTGTTTACAACTTGTCATGATCTGAAATGCAAAAGTAAGACTGGAGTGGTAATTAACCAAATTGTTTTTCAAAGGACAGATTACATTATTTTTAAATACTATCTTTGTAACCAATAATGGGTCAGGAGCTTCTATTAAGAACACGTTTCATATCTATTTCCAGTTCCTGATATGTAACCAATGCAATATGCTCCTTTTCTGTTTTCTGGTCAATGATCCAGTGGTCTTATACCCCATAGAACAGGAATTTGCTCTCACTTGACTTTTTTCTCAAAAAAACAATTTAAATGCCTTGGGAGCGTTGGAAATGTGAAGCATGTTGTGGGCGCTTGACTTGTCTAACGTGCCTAAGTGCCTGGTACAGTACACTGGCTGCCAATTCAACTAAGGCCATTGTCTCAACCTGAATGTTATTGCCCTTTTTCTCTCCATCTTTACCTTTGTCTTCCACTCTGTCTCCATTTCTCTCTCTGTCTCTCTTTTTTTTATCTCTCTTACCCTCCCTCCCCCCTTTCTTCTCTGTATCTCTACCACACAGGAGGCCATTATAACAGGTCTGCTCCCAGAGACTATGTACTCTGTGACTGTGGCTGCATACACCACCAAGGGCGATGGAGCTCGCAGCAAGGCCAAGGTGGTCACCACCACAGGAGCAGGTGTGTGCTGTTTGTAGATTAATCTACCTGTTAGGCAACACATTTCGAAACAAATTTGTTTGCCATGTTTGTTCCTCATAATGTACAGTTACACTTTGATTACACCAAAATCTCACATTCACTGGTCAGCTGTGATAAGACAATCATATCAAGCCATGTTTCCATCAACATATTTTATGTGCATTTTCAAGTGTCGCATTAGCATTTTGCCTTCTTCACTCTGATGTCTGATGGAACATTCCTCACATTAATACATGAAAAAAACAGAAAAGTCATATTTCTATCCTGTTTCCTGCATTCTTTTTCACCGTTTGAACTTCCACTGGCACTCTTAATGACTTAATTTTGTTGTGCCTTCTTCTTCTGGTTTATTGACTGGAGAATTGGCGCCACACACTGCTTCTCTAAATTAACCGATTCCTAATAATCACATAACAGTAGTGGATTAAGGATTAATTTGCATTTATTTTGCTGATTTACTCGAAATTTGGTTAATTTGGCAATACATTTGGATGGAAACATGGCTGGTTTAAAACCATCAAGGGTTTTGCTTTAAATATGATAACACTGTACTCACCAAAGTAATTGCTGGGATCTCAAAATGCGGTAATATAGCACAAAACAGACATAGATAGCATTAAAAGATACAGACCACATTCCTGGTTCAGCTACTTGCCCCAAGTGTTTGAACACAGTATTCCTGTGCAATGAGGTATTGTTTGCAGCATTATGTGGTAACTAATCTAGTAAAACTTTAGGCTAGTTTAAAAGCTGTTTGATTGTCTAACTGTTTGTGTTTGTTGCCATGTCTGACCTATTTTAAAAATATGTCACTATTTTTTCAAGCAGTGTTGGGCATTACTAGTACTAATATTATAGTAATGATATTACTATCCCAGTAACCAGTAGTGTAACTTAATTAGTTAATAGTGTAATTACTAATACATTTCAGTAATAATATATATTAATAAATATATATATATATATATATATATTATAATAATTAGTTATTACTTTACATTACTTTTGTTGTAACCCCCCTACTGATTTGAAATCCAACCATCCAATCTTTGGATTCATTTGTATAATTGTCGAGGAAACTAGTTTGAAAGATGGAACAGACAAACATAAAACTTTGATTTTAACAAACAAAACTTGATTATAATCATTGTAAGTCTGAATTTTGGGGAGAAGAGACACAATTACCAATTTTGTGGGGAGTAGCAGAACAGTAATATAACTACCGAGTAGTGTAACTAATTACTGTTGTCAGGGAGTAATAAGTAAAATAATAGTATTATTTTTGAAAAGAGTAATTCTTGAAAAATTTTATTTACTAGTAACTAGCCAAACATTGATTCTGAGATCTTAGCAGTTAAATGGTAGGTACAATGTATGTAGCCAATATCGTAACCTTGTAATTATGAGAAAAAGCTGTACAGCTGAAAAGTACTACAATGAGAAATAATGCTGCGGTCAAAGCAGGGCCAGGTAACAACAGCTGTATAGCCTCTGAAATAGGATGTCAATGTCTTTGTGTTTTGTGTTCCATGAATTTGTTCAAGTTCAAGTAATCAAGATATGGAAATTTTTCCTGTCTGTCAGTGCCTGGTAAACCCACCATGATGATCAGCACCACCATAGGGAACACTGCCCTGATCCAGTGGCAGCCCCCTAAGGAGATAGTGGGGGAGCATGTGGGATACCAGCTGCAGTACAAAAGAGCAGAGGAGGGAGCTTTCATTGTCAAAGACTTCAGACAGACAGATGATCATTTCACAGTCACTGGCCTACACAAGGGAGCCACCTACATTTTCAAATTGTGCGCCAAAAACCGAGCAGGCAACGGAGAGGAGTATGTTAAGGAGATCAGTACCCCTGAAGACATTCCCAGCAGCTACCCCCAGAATCTGAGTGTAGTAGGCCTGACTGCCACCTCCACCAAGCTGGCCTGGGACCCCCCTCCTCTGGCCGAGAGGAACGGGAAGATTGTGAAGTACGTGGTGGTGTATCGAGATATCAACAGCCAGCACAACAGCACCAACACTACCACAGAAACACAGATGACCGTCCAAGGTTTGCAGCCTGACACAACCTACGACATCAGAGTCCAAGCTTTCACCAGCAAGGGGGGAGGACCCATCAGCCCCAGCATTCAGAGCAGAACCATGTCCACCTCTATGCCAGGTGAGGCTATTTATCAGTACTGCTTTGTGCTTGTAGACAGCTTACTGTAGCTGTATCTGACCTCAGTCCTCCACACACAACTCCAGGATTTGGATATTTAGGGCTCTATTTTCCAGAAATTGGGTGCAAACACAAACAAAATCTCCAGGCACACACACAGGTGTGACCAGCACTTTTTTGCAGTTTTGGCAAGCTTCTGTAATGACCAAATCACATGACAGAAAAAAAAGACCTTACATGTTTGAACTAAAATATAAATATATAAGATAAACTTTCATTGTGAATATTAATGAATACATGAAAACTCAGAAAACTTGCTGTCATAATCCTCTTAATATGACATATTGTGACTCTCCAGAGTTAGGGCATAATAAGTGGCAATAATCAAAAATGTCCTGATGGATTTGATGGATCTCATCCTGAGGACGGTCACGTTCCTGCAAATGATTTTACTGTTAGACTTGGAATCTATGAAAACCTGGAAGACTAGTTTTCCAGTCATAGTCATGCACCTAGAAATTGATATCTTTCTTCTTCTTATCTTCTCCTTGAAATATCTTATGCAACCTGGGTGCATATGTTGTTTCAAACTCAACTGTTGGTAGGACTTTTGGCGTTTGTTGTTGTGGTTGTTACTTGTTAGTTGAACATGCAACAAACAGTTACACTTTCCACCTCTTCTTTTAAAAAGCTAGGTGACAAGATACATTTTATGTCAAATAAATTCTGCTTGATTTGAGTTGTTCTGGCTAAATTAATGTTTTGGTTAGAGGAAAACGCGTGTGCCATGACACACTGCCCCGACACACTGCCCCATAAACATTGACCACCATTGTGAGCAAGTGCTGTCCTGTATTGTCAAGAAAAAATCTTCTGGATCCTGGAAAAAGTCCTGGATAAAAAACACAGAGTATTATTTACTGTTGGATCCTGGCCAATCTAAATCAAAATAATTAATGAAGTTGCTGCTGCTGTGTCATCCTTTAAATTTACACACAGCCACTCACTGTGTCAGCCACTCACTCAAATCAGACTGTAAATGAAACACAAATCTTTCCTGCTGCTGTGTGATGACTACCGGCATTTAATCAACAGCATGGAAAGATCTGACATTTTACAAGTTGTTGTTGGAAATTCAAACAGAACACACATCCTGAAATACACTCATGTGGATGATATTATTGGTAAGACTTTTCCTCAATCAAAATTTGCCTTTTGATGCACATATTAATATGCAATTGATGTGAATAAAAGATCAGCAAATTAAAGAGGCCAAACTTTTGTGGTTTTGAAGAGGTCTGTGTCTATGCCTCTGCCGACTTAAGCCACCAAAATTTGCCCTGCATCTGTTGTAAGAGGTGGTCTGAGTGGGTTTAAATGCAAACACAATTTTGTGCCAAAATGAGCACCAAAATTGCA